AATAAATTTATACTCCTTCATCTTTTTTGGACATTTACAAACAACATTTTATTTAATACTTTTTCTATCATAACTCATAAGCTGTTTGTGCTATTTCTAACAAATGGAAACAATAAGGACGTGAATAGAGCCGCATARGAGCGAACTAAATAACCATAATTGTGATATTTTTATTTTGAACCAATAAGTAAAGTAATAATATAAAAAAGCGGGAAAGTGGATATCACTGTGCTGTACAGTAGGTTACAAGTGGGTTAATATAATGGATGGAATTAAATTTGAATCCAATGATATTATATCATTGTATAAGAAAAACGATTCTGAGCAGAGACGGTTTATCTGTCTGAGATATATTATTATATATATAAATACTTATTAAAATATATGACTTTTCGGTGGACATTTTTTTTTTTGATAAAAGTAAACAAACTTATTAAATAAAAGTTTTATGAATTTCTACCTTAAAATAATTTGTGAATTTTCGTGATTTTTACGTCTTTTGTCAATGTTTATAAAAAAAATTGTGACTACGTATTTTTAATATTTTTCAACTGCTATTGTAACACAATATGTCGGGAACCTTGTGTTAAATTTTCAAGGTTTTCTGCCCAACAAATACATTTTTATTGATATTAGTTTTAAAAAAACTAATAATGATCGAAAATCGCATATGCCTATGAATAGTTCCACTTAGGTCGGAAATTTGCATGGTAAATAGAATATACTTTTATAAACATTCGATGAAATTTTCATGTATCTATGGTCATTTGTTTTTAAGTTACATCAAAAGCCAAAATCGATTTTGTCGAAAACTGATTGTGCGTAATATTTCCCGTTTTCCATTAATATTTAGTTTGAGAATTTTTTACTTCTGAGTCCTCATAGTATCAACTAGATTCATTTTCTGATCTAATGAGGTACTTAAGTCGAAAATTGAAGCATTTTTACTGTCTCAAAATGTGATGACAGTCACAAAAAAAAAATACACACACACACGTCATCGTGGTGAAATCAATACATTCCTCAATCCGATCAAAATCTAATATACGTAAATAGAACAATATTCGTATTACCGAATAATATTTCGTAATACTGAATACCTAATGGCATGGTGATTTTTATTAATAAATTCGAACACAAAAATTCGAAAAAAATTATATAAGTTTTATATTTTAATTGGTTTCTCAAGAACGGATCATGAACGGTTTTTCAATTCTATGGTTTCGGTTCCGGTGTTCAATAATGAAAAAACCATGGTTCTAACCGTTTTTTTTTTTCAGAAACCGGTTTTGTTTCCTGTTATTAATATATTTTACAGCAAATATTCAATTAATGTTGGTTATTCTTGTGATTAACTAAGTGTCGAGCAGTATAATATTTTAATTCTATAATACCTATTGCTATAATTATAATATTAACCATACATTTTAAATTCAAGCATATTACATCTTATATTATCATATAATCATAAATGATCGCCATATGCAAGAAAAAAAAAATAAATGATAATATTGATTTGTTAATAATATTTTAGTTACCCAGCCATACAGGTATTTGTTTATTAAGTAAAACTGATATTACAACGTGTACATCATTTCTGAATCTAATAGAGAAGATTTATTATTTTATTATATTATGTAGAAGTGAAAAACATATAGTTTCAAACTAACTTTGAACCTTATGCATCTGACCCTCATACTTCATTCTGGCTTAGGTTTCATATGCTACATGTTTCGTGTCCAAAAGGATAATCTCTTATATTCAAGACCATATTGTATTGGGATTTGGACAAAAAATTACATCGAATGCAACGATGGGAAACGTATAATTTCAAGTATACGCTACGTATAATATGAGAACGTTAGGATGGATACCATCCGGTGATAKAAGACTAAATTAATATACATATATGTTTATTCTACTGTTACGAACTRTTKATTATAATAATATTATAAACAAAGTTAAGAACTATGATATTTAATACACACAATTTTTTTTAAATAACTATTCTATTTCGCATTTGCGTAGTGGGATCAAATGGAATTGTTTTAGATCCAAAAACAGTTGTAAAATGACTAATTTTATAATCACCCCGTTTTAAATTATCCCAGTAAACTATTGGAATAAAAAAAAAAGAATTAATAAAAGTTTCACCATAACTTCGTTAATTTTTTTCGCATATTCACAGTCATTCAAAATATTATAAAAGTTTAATTTAAATTCAAATCAAATAATAACAACCACCTACCTGTCCTACCTATTTCATTTTGGGATCTTATGATTTTGAATTGTATACCTTTTAAATTTAATAAAATAAATAAGAAATTTTCATAAATAATATTTTAAATAAAATTGTGAATATTACTTTTGATTATTCTCGTGTTATTGATTGWTAGTAARATTTAACTTTAATTTGACTTAATAATAAATCATCATTTTAATATGGACGGATAATTGTCTGGAATCTACTAATAATTTAATGAGAAGTTACTTAGCCTTCAAACAGTTCAAACCATTTTTCGTGACACGTTTACTATTCATAATTATTTATCCTGTGATTTGAGATAAACAAAATATAGTTATATTATAATTTTTTAATTTTATGATGCGGTTGATACATTTTTCTGTCTTTCATTTCTATATTCAATAATTATTTTAAATGACAAATTTTAGTGAAACGTGTCACAGCAAAGGCTTTTTAGTAATAGGCCCACCTACTCAAAGCAGTTGAAACAAATCAAATAATATTTGACTAATACTGTCTTACAATTTAAACATATAATCTTCTAAGATAAAAGATAAACAATATTAAATACTAATTAATCAATTTAACCATTAACAGGTCAATGGATCAGTTGTTTTGGCTGCATAAATCATGATTCTACCAAATTCTACCGCCAATCTCGTTATACTGCTTAGTCCACTATAAAAATTTCATCTTAATGATTTAAATATTAAATCTCACTTTACTTGGTTTAGCCAAAGTTCTAGTGGTTTTTCTCGTGTAAGTGTCAAATTAGGCTTTGTTACTAGTTTAACTACTGGATTAATAACATTAAAAAAATTAAAATAAATAAATAATATAAGCGTTTGACATACTATTAAMAATTAATTAAATAGCACAAAGCACATATTTTAAATTCATAAAAAAATTAAACATTTAAACTAAATATTAAAAAAATGTTTAACTACCAAGAAATTATGGGTTATTATAATASAATTGTGTATTCAAATGTATTGATACCTACTAACCAATATATTTATCTGTATAGTTTATTAGTTATTTCAAATAATAATAATTGAACATCAACAATATTCTAATGGTAAATTGAATGGTACAAGATTTACGTCAATATTATAAATTTAATAACTAAAAGAACATACTTACTAATTTAATTAAAACTTACAAATTTACTATTTTTTTTATTAAATAAGTGTTTATAAATATTAATGAATAAAAGTGCTTAAATATTAAGAATGATTAAATTATACATAATTGAGTTTTAAAAAAAACTTAAATGTTTTGAACTGATTAACATCAAGTTTAATAAGATTTTATACTGAGGGTACATCATATTTTTTCCAGGAATTTAAGTGTTATTCAATAAGATTTGCAACAACTTTGAAATAGTGATTAAAATGTCAAAACTTTCACTGCAAAATATATTTTTTTGAGTTAAGAATTTTTATATAATTACTATTTTATTGATCTACATAATCATTAATAAACACACATATATTATAATATATATATATACATATTCAATATTAATTAGTATTTGCGTATTATTATCAAACATTTTTTCAAAAAAAAGAAATGATACATAAACATCAACAGTTCATCAAAAAAATATTTTATTCGGAAAAATATAACTAATTAACCAATATTATTAAGAAGGCGTCGTGTATAGGCAAAATACAAACATAATAATACTATTATGAACTCAATTATTTACAGTGACAGTTTTTTTTTTTAATTTGAAAATGTATTGTATTTATGATATAAGTAATGATTTAATTGTAGATAATATATAGTATTATATAGAAAAAATGAATATAAACGTGTTGGTGATTACAGTACATAATATTATATAATGTGATAATATTATTAATTATAAATTACGTAAATATCAAAACGGTATTACTATAACTATGGCGTAAGCGTATAATATTTAGCAGTAGGCTGGTACATTAAACATAATAAATTAATAACAAATCGTCTATTTTGTGTTCTCAGGTCGATCGATTCACACGTATTTCAAAATCAGAAGACCGAAAAACGTTCGACTCTCGTTCGACGGCATCGTGAACAGAGCTAACTCGCCGTTCGTGTTGACACTGTGCCTACCTGAACCGCTTAATCACAATTCCGCCGAGGTAAACACAAGTTTTTTTATCAATTAAACAGTTATCTCTTCGAGCGTTATACGTAGTTATAGCCGTTATAAGTATCTTCTAATTATTTCATTGCGCTATCCCACGCCCCAAAGAACCTTCTGCAATCGAACTCGTTCAAAATTATTGAAATTTAATGTATGTACTATAGCTATAGTACAAGCATTGCATACCTCCGACTGATGGTTCGATTTTAATGGATTGCATTGTAAACATTTGAATTTAATAACACGTGGCGTACAGTTTTTTTWAAAATAAAATTAAGAAATTAACTAACTAACGAAACTACAGTCTGCAACAATAATATCGTCTTATAGTCGTCTTAATATTATTATATTATTAATATATTTGTCAGACGGTTTTCGTTTGTTAATAATAAATAAAAGTAATAATATTGTTGTTCTATACACGTCCCGTGTGTGATCACTACGCGTGTGCACAATATAATAAAATAATAATATAATAACGCGTTATACGGCCTCAGACGTTTTAACTCCATTCGTCGTGTTTACTCGCGTCAGACAGCGTCTCTGCCAGAATCAAATATCTGTCAGCGTGCTTCCGACTCGGGATCAACGGATTAAGCTCCTCTGATAAGTCATTACGGTGGTCTTCTCTGGGTATAGATCTAACGTGGGTGCGTTGACGAAATGTCACCAGTTCTAAGCGAACGGTTTATCGGCTTAACTGCAGCTGCAGCAGACGCTGCGTCTATAGCATATTGTACAATATTAGACGCTATTTGGCTAGAATTTTACTAGAACACTATAGTGCTTTTGACTTATTGTTTTTATATTGTTATTATTATATGTATTCCGTTTTGTTTTTTTCAACTTTCGGCTTTCGTCGGAGTTAAAGAGTATACAGCAATATTTTTGGATATAGCACGTCCCATAAGGTTCTAGACACTCCGAAATAATATCAACAATTAGCGGCCATATATTTGGAAGAAGACATTGGTTTCCACATGATTATCGTTCAATTTCTTATCAGTGTCCATTTTAATTTATTTATTCTGTGATCTTACTTTCAACTACAACTATCAATACTGTCACCGTCTATAATATTCCGATGATAAATATGTAACGAAATTCAATCACGAAACTAATCACACTAAATTATATGGCGTCTATGTTATGTATGAAATATATCAGATTTTATACAATGTGATGACCAAGTTGTCAGAGTAGAATATTATTTTCAATATGACGACATCGTGGAATCGCAGCTTAACTTTATCCTAAACTTTCTTAAATAATTATTAATTTTTAAATTGTTTGTGTTTTGTTACCACGTCAGAATTAAGCTCTGATAAGTAATTACGGTGGTCTTCTCTGGATCTAGCTTGAGTGCGTTGATACTTCACCCGGTCGAATAATATTATTATTGCCGAGTAAACGGCTTATTGGATTAACTACAGCTGCAGTAGACGCAGCATCCCGCAGATAAACGACATTCTATATTACTTGGACAGCGTGGATTTTGACTTATTATTTTTCTATTATTAAATCATGATTTTTTTTTTTTAGTTTGTTTCGATTTCCTGTTGTCATAAGAGCAACGATACGTTCTGATATACGTTTTACCTTTAATCACAACAATTGTATCCATCTATAATATTGTGATGAAGTACGATTGGGCATGTGGCGAGATCCAATCTCTAATTAATCACACTATCAGGTTTTAAACACTGTGATTACCGAGTTATCAGAGTAGAATATTTTTGATTCATTATGAAATTACAGTAATTTGTTTACCAAACTATTTTCTCAGCATGCCACATTTTTTAAAATTAAAAATAGTTCTAACTTATAATTTTTTGTTCCACAACATATATTTATAGTTTAATGTGTTTTGAAATATTTCGATACATAGACATAGTATTTGAAACGAAGAGTTAATTAGTAATAACTTATACGTACTTACATAAAATTGACATGATCAGTGTTCAGTATAGTTGTACCCGTGTACCACCAAAATGTTCGTCCACTAATCCGCACATCTAAATTTTAAATATTTTAATTGAATCAACTACTTGTTCGAAATTTAATTGGTATAAATCGGAGTATTCTAAATAATAATTGACTTTGGAATATGAAATTAAAAAATTAAGCTATGTTGTGATAAAAATATAACAAATTATTCGTAATTTTTTTTAACAAAACTTTGTTCATCATACATGATATTTTTTTTAAATGTTAAATTTGTAGTTACAAATAGTGAAATAGTTGAACTTATATAATATTATATATTATTTCTATACACGCATATACCTAGTAACAATTAATCTATAGCCTATAAGCATTGTAGTCATAATATTATTATGGTGTGCCTATTTAATATTCTACGAGTAAAAAGTTAATAAAACGAGATAGGTGCATCTAAATTCATGTAGGTTTAAGTTTCTTATATTTATTGAAGATAATTATCCTTTAAACTGTCTTAAAGTTGTAATTAATCTGGTTTATGTTAATGCAACATAGAGTATATGAACGGGTTAATCTGTAGATTATTCCAAAACTTTTCCAAGGTAAAAAACAAATTAATGGGCATCTAGGGTCTGATAATTTTGCTATCATTTACCAAAACTTCATTTTAATTAAAAGTAAGCCTACTCAATAAGTAGTTTATTAATCTGATTTTCCACTTATTACGATTATGATTGTAAATATAATAAATTTACATAATGTGATGCATTACATACAGTGTGTCCCAATATAATTTACTATAGCTGATTCTCGTGCATTTCGGTTCCCGTTAAAAATACCAACTCTATATGATTCAAAATATTTGTGTTTAATTCGTTGTTTAATACCCGGCTAGCCATGTTCAAAACTTCCCGTAATGAATTCCCGTGGATTTACTCTATCTTAATCTCCATTAAAGATTTTTAACACATAGAACACAGGACTAAAACTATATTCAATCCTAATATTTTCTCGCATTTTTAACTTTGTAATGGTGAAATAATTTTTAGAATTGGTACCAGTGCCGTAAAAATCAAGGTGCAGGTGGTGCACAGCACTGGGGCCCATAATGCCCCTAGGGCTCTTGGTGGATAGATGTCAATTTTTTTTTAAATTTGATTCATTATAATTTTATTATTATTTTGTATTTAACTTCATATCACAAAATGTAAATGTCTGGTTCGTTATATTCTATGGTTTTACTTGGAATCGCTAATCAAAATATTGAGAAAATTTACTAAACCAAGAGTGACATAAATAGATTTGTTGATTATTATACGCGATACCAATACACACACAAACTAACAATGTACTCGGGAATCAGAGCGGTCCGTTCTATGTAACTACGTTGACACGTTGTACACCCCTGTCGATATAATATACCGAATACCGATCGTCAGACGACAATACGATATTAATTATATTATTTTAACTATTGGCTAATAATTTTTTTGTAACTCTTAATATACAAAAATTAAGATGTTCTAACAGCTTGTATAATTTTGTTAACAATTCCTGTAACTGTTGGTTCAGCTGAAAGATCTTTCTCCAAACATAAATTAATAAAAATTACTTGAGGATTTCTACTTCCCAAGAAAGATTAAGCAATATATTATCAGTATAAACATTGAAAGAGGTCGCACTGATGAAATAAATATTGAAAAAATTATTGTCGATTTCAAAAATGCTAAGGCTCGAAAGAAAATGCTTTTATAACACTTAATCATTATAAAAATATAAAATATGTAATAGCTATTATATAATAATAGAAATTATTATTTTTATTTTTATTTTTGGTGTTACATGAAAACTAAAACTAAAATTGTTATTTTTATATTTATTATAAATCATGTTTGTAGGAACAATAATCATATTATATATTTTAAATATTAACTTATATTTATACTATGTGCCTATGTAGATTATTACAAGTTTTTTGTGTTAATAAAATCTACTCAATATAAAATTGTGATCCTGTATACCTATTATACCTACTACATTTAAGCTCTACATAGAATTGTTTCAACGTGAGAATTATAAATCGGTTGTTTATAACGTAATATATCCACAAATACTAAACTATCTAAGAAGTAAAAATTCCAAAAATATGAAGTTAGTCTGAATTTTTTATGTATCTCAAAAAAGGGGGGCCCATATGCATTTATTTGCACCTGGGTCTTTGACTCTCTAGTTACGGCACTGATTGGTACCTAATAAAAAATTACTCATTTTTTATTCGAACCTAACCAATCGATATTTTTTTGAGAGGCATAACTCCCAGAAATGGCGTTATTATAACAAAAAAAAACACAAAATATCTATAAAAACTTTTAATGTCTTAGACGCATGGAAACAAATTAATAACAAACGTGCAATGGAAATAAATAATAAGAAATTTAGGAATAATTATTTCTTTTGCATTAATCATTATTATTATTAATGTATGTGTCAAAAATAGTATAAGTATAATATATTTAAATTTGTCCCGAAATATTGCTATAGGTATTTGTACACACCTATCAACACCTACTTTATGAGATTATTATTAATTTCTGAAAGTTTTTTCATAAAAATACATTGAAAAAATAAAATGTAAACCTACTATTTAATTCGGTCGTTTGGTGGTTCTAGCATATTTATGTATCGTTTATCATGATATTAAAAATGTCGGTTCGGCTTTAATATAGGTAACAATAACAACACTGAGAATATTATGTTTCAAAGTATAGTCATTATGGAAGCACGATAGTCAAGTATGATATCTACTATGATGCACGACAGATATAGATACTTATGTAAATATACCATGATAAATCAACCAAATTACGGTGGTTCGTTGAACCTACACACATGCCGACTAGTAAATAACAGCGTTACGGTGACGTTGAAAACTCGTCTAATTAGTGTTCTAGAACATTTAGCCATTAAAATGCACTCGTGTACCATGGTCGTACGATAGGGTCATATTGAACGTTCGTCACTACAGACCGTTCCTCATATGCGCACGCATGTAAATAATATTATTATATTATATTATACACAAACACAAATACTATACATATACATATTACACACACATATATATATATATATGGGTACATGATACGGCGGACGTTTCGGTATAAAGTATTATATTCGCGACGAAATAATGACGTGCAATAGAATGCCCTCTGGCAGGTTTCACGATATATAATAATATGTACGGACGTTATATCTGGTACCTATACCTGACGCGTAATTTCGATATAAGGACCGCGCGCGATGATGGGAAACGAGTGAAGGTATAATATTATACACGCAATAATACTATTATATACGCAAATCGAAAACGCTCGAGAACCTACAGGTACTTCATATTAATAATAGGTGTGTACACGTTATATACATATATAAATATATATAGGTACATTTTGCACAAAAAGCGTGTGTAACATGTGCACGTGTATGAAATAATAATATATATATATAAAGTGCACACTCAATACAGGTAGGGTTTTTATTTGCGGTGAAAACGTCGACGCGCGGTATGTATAAAACGTGGCCTTTTCTATAAATATATATATAAACACGACTACGTATATTATTACGACCAAACGGGTCAATTATTCAAATTCGGAAATTTCGAAAATGCATTTACGTAAAACACCGTGGCGATGGCGACGGTAATTTCATACGTTCCACGGAGGGGTGCAGGTGGCGGCGGCGGAAATGAACTCTTAATTTATTATTTATTTTTCGTACTCCGCGCGCTCATACCGCGGTAGTAGTTGTTCTACATTGGAATTATTTTCGGACGGCGATTGATGCCCACCGCGGCTCGTGTGCAGTATATAGTGATGAGATACGCGCGGCGTAGATCGGTAGACGTGTCGGAATTCACGAGAAGCCATAAACGGCGAATCGTTAAAATAAAGTCGGCCGATTAATTTACATTTTGACGAGTCTATAGTACTTAGTAAGTTATGCAGTCGTCTTAAACATGACGACGTAGCGTTTGTTAGTGACAAAATCGGAAAACGACGGCGGATACGCGCGCTATGCGATCGTCGTTACAACTGCGGAACTGTGTGCTAGCGATGCCATAACACATAATAATATTGACTTCGGTAGGAACCGATCACGTTAGCCCGATGACAGAAGAAGCTGAGGGAGATGAGTAAAAAGAAAAACAGTATAATACCACCCACCCCAATTACTACAGTTTAGTGTATACCTAGTTTGCGTGTATACACTCCGACAGTGACAGCCACGGACGGTGACTATGGTTTTGCAATAAAATATTATGGAACTATATATTATATACACACATAGGTGGCGACCCTGTAAAATATTGAAGGGGCTCAATAAATATTAATTTAATACAAGATTCTTTCAAAGATAAAGATAATTATAGTAAAATGAAAATTGTATATWTATATACAAACGATAGGTAGTGTAATTTGTATTGAAGTACGATATTGTTTTTTTTTAAATATTTTCCTCCCTGGCTTTAACTTCGAATTTATTTTTTTAGCGGAACAAAGCTTCCCCCTATAAGCAACTCTACCTCTCTCTCGATATCCACCTATGGATGTTCATAGAGCCTAAACTATACATTTTCCTTGAACTACATGCTTGAAATACTTTCTAAAATATATGCGTACCTACATGTGTCTACTGTAAACAAAATCGTAAGCGTATACGGTGAACATTTTTCCACTCTTGCGCCTCATACAATATTGATGTCCAGTGCACGGCTCGTGTGTGCAGTGAGATATGCGTGTAGGTCGATCGACCCGTTGGAATTTGAGTGAAACTTTAAATGGCGAATCGTTCGAATGAAGACCAGCTGATTAATTTACACGCCGACGGGCCATACGCGATTCTGTCGAGGTATAAAATAGGACGTGACGTTGACAATGACGAAAGCTAGAAACGGTGGCGGCGGAGGAATGCGATGAGAGATTGTCGTTAAAATTGCATAACTGTGTGCTCGCGATGACAAAAGCGCCTAATAATATTGGTTGTGTACGGAAAAAGCGGATGTAGAGGAATAATAAGAAAATCGTTCCTACCACATTACCACAGTTCAGTTTAATATATTTTTCGTATATTCAGGCGGCGGCGGCGGAAACTGTAGTTTTCGAAATAAAATATTATATAGTTATTGCAGCGTCTATATTATACACTTTTCTCAAACAACATGTTTGCAATATTGACCAAATAATATGCGCACACGTGTTTCTTACTGCAGACGAAATCTCACTTGGCGTAAATGTGTATACGGTGAAAATATTCCACTCGATTGTTATATTATTATATTATAGTCATATCGATGACGATAGAAAATTTGTGTATTCTCAGACGCACATCTCAGACGTTAAGCAACAAGATACAATATATTATGTACTATATATATATATATATATATATATATATATATATATAGAGAGAGAGAGAGAGAGATAGAGCACTTGCCACTGTAATATATGAGAAAAACCACTGCAGTTTTACGAATACAAAATTCCAATCCGCAGAAACAATAATAATAATATTTCTGTACGGAAGAGTTTTGTTTCTATACATTGATTTACAACTGTAGAAAATCTGCGTTTTTTTAATAAAATAATAATAATATTAATAAAAACAAAAACACATCGATAACGTTATGTGTTTTCACTGATCACATTTTTTTTTTTTTTTTTTGTACATTTGTATCACAGGGTTTGGAGTTTAAAGGTCAAATGGTGTTGTGCAACGAGTCCGGATCGTTACTGTACGTCGGTTCACCATTGCTGGACGGACTGGACAGTCTTACCAGCAGGAGCCTGTTTATTTCAGACATACCATTGCACGATGCCACAAGAGACGTGATATTAATTGGTGAACAAGCCAGGGCTCAGGTATAAAACACAATAATCATAATATTATAAACACGGTGTAACTTAATAATTTGGTCTTCGTAAAAATTGAAAATGACCGATRTTTAACAACAATAATGTTACCAATTTATCTCCCCCTTGAGTAATACACAGTTATCAGAAATTTAAAATATGATCTTATAGTTAGGTTAGAATTGGTATTGATGTACTTTTGAATAGAAAAATGAGGGTAAGCATGATCATTCTGCATAATAATAATATGTATCTGTGTATATTATATCCATATATTTATGTAAACAATTATAATGTGATTGTAAATTTATTAACTACTGACTAATTGTCAATTGACACTAAAATGTACACAAATAGTCCTTGAAAATTATGTTAGGATTAGGTTCATTGCTTTGTTTTTCAATYCTTATCGGTATAGGACTCACAAATTCATTTTGACTCCCCAAAAATTGATTTTGTTTGTTTGTATAATATATATATATATTATGTAATATAGTTGCCTTTGGTTAAAGGAATAAAAAATAATTTTATGTAATTTATAATAATTATACATTATTATAGAAATATATACCTGTATTTTATTATAAAAATGAATGCATATATATATATATATATATTTAAATTATAAATATATAAAGTTTCCCAAAAACTACTTGAACGATTTTGAAAAAAATCTCAAGAGTTATCAGTAAAGTGTAGAGAGGAGTTCGAATGATGTTCAAAAATATACCAAGCGCTATATACAATCTGCCATGGACGGATTGCCTATCTCGGTAAAATATTAGTTCACAAAAGCAAGGGATTCCAGCGCAGATTTTCCCGTTAAATGAGGTACAGTAAAACCAAAAGGTACCTATACAATTGCGCCGTATTCGTATGTATCTGTTCAGTTTTTTTTTTCTTGTACAAGGGAATTCGAGTTATACAACCTTATACATTTTATTTTAATACAATATAATATATAAATCGAGTCGTTATAATACCACGTGCATCCCGACATCTCTAACGGTGATACTTCCGGTGAATGGACGTTGGGGGTACTCAGTTCCAACACTCAGGGAACGAAGACGACAACGACTACCAGCGATGGTAGGACATAACACATAACAGACGTAGTGGGTGGTATCATGATGGTTTACGATTCGTATAGAATTTATGTCGACCTGACACTTTGTCTGATCCACAGCAACAACAATAACAACAATATTATAAATAATCGTAATAATAATAATAATAATAATATCAATAAATATAGCGATGATAATTATGATAATGACACGGCGATTGACAGTGTTTTTCCGTACCCTTTCAGACGGTAACTATTCTCACCGGCTGCTTTACTCGAACATTATTGTACCTACAACACTAAACAACGGTTTCACGTATTTATTCCAAGAATGTGTTGGAATCAGTTTTCGTTATAATTGTCACGTTTGAATTAAAACATGGTGCGTCACGATTGTTTCACACTGTGATATAATAACTACATAAAATACATTTATCTGAAATAAAATAATTCTAAATCAAAAAGAAATTATCATACTCAATTTATACTCAAGCCCTAAAAATTCAGCTGGTCGAACCGGTATTATTATTTTAAAATTTATAAGCGGGAATATTTTAGGAATTTTATTTTATTTTCCCCTCCTCTCCTCATCAGGCCAAATGCAAATGCAAAAAAATTAAAATAAGGAATACGCACGCGGTTAGTTGATATTTTATTGCGTTTTGTATACACATGAGGATTCTAAAAAAAAAAAAATACATTGCATAAACTCTATTAATTTTGACTCAATTTATAGTTGTCTTTTTATAATAAATGGTAACTTGCCCTACGATTCTTTCCTGTTTAAGTTTATTTCACTGGTGAAATATTAAAACGATTGAAGTCTAACAAATCACACCATTCACCCTACTTAAGATGGCACAGTRCGATACGGTTTTTTTGAGTACCATTTTTTGCGCAATTACTATCTCAAATAAATAAGTTAAGCTCATTAAATTTTAATTGTTTTTTTTTTTTTGCTGTTTAAACAAAAACAGGTATGGAGTGTTTTTAAACGTTCAAGTTGAATAACTGTACGTTTATAAAATCATAAAAAAATAATGTTGTTTTTATTTGGTTTTATAAATAATTTTTACAATTACAATTTACAGTAAAGTATTTGGTTTGAATAGAAATTATAATGATTACTGAAAAAATATATTGTTTAGAAACATCGAATTAWTAGCATCCAACATTTTATTAGACACTGAAATAATAGTTTCTGATTTTGGTCTATAATACTTCATAATAGAATAATAAGGAACTCACGTTTATTRTTCTGAATATATTTCATCAGTTATAATATGAAGTCAATACTAAGTGGTGTAATAGTTGAACTCTCAAAATTGCATATACATATTTTTTAATTAACAAGAAATAAATCACATATATTTATGCAATTAATATTATTCTATTTGATATAATATATAGAATAATATTCTTTAAATTAATATCCTCCTACGCACTGTAACTGTTGATATAGCTTCATGGTTAAGTTAGCTAGGTTAGGCTAAGTTATACTTAGCTGGCTGGTTTTAATATTGTAATAATAATATTATACTCAATACAATTTCTAATGTATGATAATATCAATATTTAATAAAACCTATGGGTAAAACGTTSTCAAACAAATTGTCTCAAGACGAGAAAACACTTTAACATGGAAATAATTCATTCGGTTGAAAAATAATGCCATACGTTTTGTACAGACTACGGAGCACAATATTTTTATTATTTTCGTATTTATTCATCATAAAATAATTAGGAACAATAATATATTATAATATATTTTGCTGTTACCTATTGTATTGTGTATCGACGACTGTATTTTATAGCGTCCATCGTAAAAAAAAAAATTGTCGAAATCTGAGAACATTTTTTGGTGGCATGAACAACAACTGAGTTAGATTCCATCAATGTAATAGGTAGTATAGGGTAATTCATTTTTTACGATTACGGTAGATCACGGTTGTATCCATCGTTAAACAGCTGATGACCGGCTATGTAAAATAAACGTAAYCGTGGGAGCTGTTTACCGTCCTCGTCGGTGTAATAATGAAAATGGTCCACCAATTTAGGTGGCTCGTTAATAACAATTGTTAGTAATTTTTACCTCGGAATACTTAAGTCAGAAACAACAATCATGATCGTTGAAACGAATCATATTACTTTCGTACGCTTTCGTTTGTAGATTTTTTTTCTGTTTTTTTTTTTATATATAGATTTCTACGATTTAGGCGTCTTTCCGCCTTTGATTCACCTTACCTACGACTTATATAAAGATATAATATATTTATGCATGCATTATTACAGTGATAATCTTATTAAGATCGTACGTCCTGTTAAATCGCACTGAACCGTCGACAGACAAATTGAAAATCGTCTCCGTGTAAACGTTATCGCAAATGGGTTCCGGAAAACGGGTATGAGCGCTAAGTCGTCGTATATGCGCGCCGTTTGCAGTTAAAGGATTTACTGACCCACATAAAATAAGCCATAGAGATAAAGGGTTAAAACTCTTCTAAGATTCCTTAGACCTTTTCAGTAAACGACTTCAGTTGCATTGGGCCCATTTTGTGGTGATGGTGGAAATCGTTATAGCGGAAGCAACTCGGACCGAAGCACTCGGATACAGTCAACCACTCCATTATTTACGGTGTCTCGAGCCAGAGTTATACTTGATTGATATAAAAACGTTGTGCTAAAATAATAAGCGCATTATAAGCGTTATTTTTGCATGGAAATAATAAATAATATAAATATTTACGACGTGTGACGTATATCCGTTATTTAGGTTATGTAATGTGCGTGTTTTAATATCGATTGTACCGATTGATTTCCCGTCGTATGATTGTATACCTGTAGATTTTATTGCTGTTCCTTTTAAAATTTCACGTGATATYAATTAATGTATTTTAACTTAATGRATAAACCAAATCTAAACAGAATAGTTGCATAATATATAATRTAACATTCGTATTATTCCTGCAGTTCGCGATATGTTTTACTATTAAGTTTAAAAACATTGAAATAATATTATATTTTAATATTATACAAAYAATTAATATTAATACAATTATTATTATAATTATATAATAATAATGGTGACGAAAAGAAAATAGTAACCATAAAATAATAATATTAGCGCAAAAGCTGTGCCTTAACGAACGGTTGTTAATCGATTCCACACTTTTTTCTCGATATATCTAAAAATGTTGAAAATATAATGTATAGAAGTTACTTACGAGTGTGTGTGTGTGTGTGTGTGTGTGTGTATTGCTTATTATCGACAATAACCTTACGCCAAATAATTCCATGTAATATAATATATTACACTGTATATATAGAAGTTATGCAAATTGAAAGGATATAATTCTATCAGACTGCAACGTAGACATTCCTACGACGACGACCTATAATACCACGCAATATAAATTTTTTATATATATATATATATAATAATATTATGTATACATCAGTTCCGGAGAAACTCGAATAATCAAATATCGGCAAACGGGATTCAAGTTCAGCACATATAATCCTAGTTGGCGTGCACCGATTCGTCAAAAAACATGCACTTTTTTTATCATCGATTATTTTGGATAAACATAAAAAAAAGATTTAAGGATTACGTAAATTAGGTCATACGAAAGCACATGAATGTGATTCTCATTATTCGGTTCAAAAAAAATTTTTTTGTTACGCCTATGCCGAAAGTTAAGTTTTCGATGATGGACGAAGCGTTGGAAAGCGATATTTTTCTGTCCAAATGGAGGGGGTGGGTGTAAAGTGGGAATTCCCAAAGTGTCCGGTGGTAAAATGGAAATCCCTAAAAACCTCACAGTGTATCAAGCTTACACAACCATGCACTGAAATCTATACCAAGGCCCTTAAAAAAACATAAGCTTTTGGTTACATCTTTTCTTGCATCACGCATGATCATATAGAACATATTATTTTTTTT